TCAGAATTTAAATATAAATGTTCAATACACTGCCCTCTGGTGGTCGCAGGGCGTCACTACAACTGAACTGTTCAGACGCCAGTGTGAATGTGACGGCGGATATTTCCGCCATCTAGCGGCCACAGACAGGAACTGCACAATTACTATCAAGCTAGATATACTGCAAAAATATAGTTCCGGTAATTGATTTCAAAATAAAACATTGACGACAGACAGACGTGAGATGACGCAAAGTGATTTTCCGGTAAACGGAGCATCAGTAGTAAACCGGAGATGATTCGTGACGGTTAATTTCCACAGTTTGGATCCAACAGCTTCATATTTATAAACATTGAACGACACGCGATTAGTTAACGGAACCGGAAATGAAATCAGACACTCGGTGCTTTGGCGCCGTCCCGTGGACAAACCGTGAACTACAACAACACGAGAGGACTCCATCATGGCGGCCGCCGTCAGACTCGTGTCGAGGTTGACTCTGGTCACAGGCGCGTTTAGATTTTAACACTTTCTCATGTTTTTAGACGAATACACAGAGAACGTGTGTCGATATCCTGTTTCCTGTTTGAACGATGTGTTTGAATCTTTTTGTTTCAATGACTCCGGAGGTTCTGTTGTGGAACTTCGCTGCAGTTTGTTCAGTTTTAGTTTGTGAACTTTTGTTTTCAGGAAGTTAAACCTTCCTGATTCATTATCGTTCTATTTTTTATATAAGATCAGTTTTTAATGACAACAAATCAGAATTTAAAAATTAATGTTCAATACACTGCCCTCTGGTGGCCGCAGGGCGTCACTACAACTGAACTGTTCAGACGCCAGTGTGAATGTGACGGCGGGTATTTCCGCCATCTAGCGGCCAGAGACAGGAACTGCACAACTACTATCAAGCTAGATACACTGCAAGAATATAGTTCCGGTAATTGATTTCAAAATAAAACGCTTACGATTCGTACACGGAACCGGAAATGAAATCGGACACTCGGTGCTTTGGCGTCGTCCCGTGGACAAACCGTGAACTACAACAACACGAGAGGACTCCATCATGGCGGCCGCCGTCAGACTCTTGTCGAGGTTGACTCTGGTCACAGGCGCGTTTAGATTTTAACACACTTTCTTCTGTTTTTAGACGAAGACACAGAGAACGTGTGTCGATATCCTGTTTCCTGTTTGAACGATGTGTTTGAATCTTTTTGTTTCAATGACTCCGGAGGTTCTGTTGTGGAACTTCGCTGCAGTTTGTTCAGTTTTAGTTTGTGAACTTTTGTTTTCAGGAAGTTAAACCTTCCTGATTCATTATCGTTCTATTTTTTATATAAGATCAGTTTTTTTAACTTAACGACACGAAAATAAAAAATATAATAATAATGTACAATGATTACAAGTCGTACAATGTGATTTAAAACCAAGGACAGCAAATGATTGAAATACCCTCTGACTGAGCTCTCTCTCCTCTCACCCAGGCGGAGGCAGCGGGATCGGACGAGCCGTGTGCCAGCGTCTGGCCTCTGAAGGAGCCTCCGTGGTGGTCGCTGACATCAGCGAGGAGTCGGCCAGTGAGACGCTGGGCAGCCTGCAGGGAGGCCTCAGGGGGCAGGGCCACATGGCGGCTGTGGTGGACGTCTCCTCCAAAGAGAGCGTCACGGAGCTGCTCACTAGTATACAGGTGTGTGTGTGTGTGTGTGTGTGTGTGTGTGTGTGTGTGTGTGTGTGTGTGTGTGTGTGTGTGTGTGTGTGCGCGCGCGCGCGCCTGGGACGATAACACATTTTGCTGGACGACGTGTTGTCACACGAATTATCGCAGATAAACGACATTCCTGTCCACATGATAATATCTGAAAGTAATGAAACCCTTTCAAAGACAACAAACTTTTATTCCTCAGTGTTTTTTACCTTGAGCGACGCAGAGAACTTCACTGTCTGTGAGCTTTGTTCCGTTTGTATGGACTCTGTGGACCGAGCCCCTCGGTGCGTGTTGTCTGGGTCGAAGGTGAAACTGGGTCTGATGCTGCAGGTGTGTTTCCTTCTCTCGCCGCCAACACGTTTGAACCGGCTCGTGTAGCATTAGCATGTGTGGCTAATGCTAGCGGAAAAACAAAGAGGCTGGATGACTGACAGGAGGGTTCACTCCGTTCGTTCCTCAACCAGCGCCCCCTGGTGCTGAGGCCGAGCACAGAGTGAACCCTCCTGTCATCCAGCTTGTGTGCACATGGCGATATATCGAGGCCGGACAAATTATCGAGTTCATTTTAATTTATCGTGCGATTAATCGATGTATTGATTATCGGCCTCACACCAACACACAGACATGCTGCTGGTTCTCCTTCTTTCTCTGCTCCTGCTCTGCAGACTCGTTTCTTCCAGCCTCCCTCGGTGTGTGTGAACGCAGCCGGCATCACCCGGGACGACTTCCTGCTCCACATGACGGAGGAGCAGTTCGACAAGGTCATCCAGGTCAACCTGAAGGTGCGCGGGTGTGACGCCTGCTCTGAGATCCTCACGTCGAGGACGGGCTCCACGTAAAAGCGTTCGATTCTGTGAAGTCAGAGAAAATTGTGTTGACTTTGCTTTCGCGTCTCTCAGGGTTCGTTCCTGGTCACGCAGGCCGTCGCTCAGGCGCTGGTGGCCTGTGGAGCAACCAAAGGATCCGTGGTCACTGTGGGCAGCATCGTGGGAAAGGTGCGACTCCAACAAGCCTGAAGCCTCATCCTCACTTTCTCACATGTTCAGTCATCATCTGAACCTTAAAGGCTTCTGTGCATTTCTCACACAAGCTTGTTGTGTTTTGTAGTTTTGTATTTTCGCTTCATTGGAGCCTGAATGCACCAAATTATACATGAGACAGAAAAACAGTAAATAAATCCAGGGAATCAATTCAGAGAGTTTCTCAGACTTGGTGAAACATCACTGATGAAAATATTCCTGTACGTATTTGAACTATACTCAAACAAAAGTACCACAGCTGAACCTGAAGCTACACAAATATTTCTACAGCCACAAAATGTTTGTTTTTTTAAACATTATTTCACCAGCACTAAATGTCAGTGACACATTTGCTGCAATGTGAAAATCCTCCAGAGGGAGAGTCTCTCACACGCTGCATCCTGTGTCCGTGTTCTTAGGTGGGAAACATTGGACAGGTAAATTATGCCGCGTCCAAATCTGGAGTGGAAGGTTTAACCAGAACTGCAGCCAAAGAGCTGAGCAGGTGAGAAGACAACGACACGTCGACGCACACACAGCTGACTGGATTATTCAAATCTGCCTCTCCGTTGTCTGCAGGTTTGGGATTCGGTGTAACTGTGTGCTGCCGGGGTTCATATCAACGCCGATGACGGATAAAGTTCCAGAGAAGGTTCTTACCAAGGTACAGCACACACACCGGTTCAGAAATACTTCATCCACCGCGAGAAAACTCCCTGTCAGGTTTGTGACTGATGTGATATTCTAACCACAGCAGTTATAAATTACATTTAATAAGAAATCCTCAAGATCCTGATTTTCCATTTGGATCAGTTCCCTAAAAATATTTTTCTATTTAATATCAGTATTAAGTCGATTTCATTGCTGCCAAGAAATAACATTTGTTTTTGCAGGTTGATGTGTGACTGACTGTCATGTGTCTGTATCTGTGTGACGTGTCTGTTGTCAGTGACTCTGCAGTGATGTCCTGTGTTTCAGATGAAGTCTCTGGTGCCGATGGGAAGAATGGGCGAACCTGCAGGTCAGTGAGGACGCACGTCTTTTCTATGTTAGAGCAGCGTCATCACTTTTTATTGTTCCTGTTTATCTGAAATGCTCAGTTCCCATTCTCACTCGTCTTTGCTCTCTTGCCTCCAGAGGTCGCAGATGTTTGTGCCTTTCTGGCCTCCGACGACTCCCGTTACATCACGGGCGCGAGCATCGAAGTCACAGGTGACGTGCGACTCGATTCTCTCAGAGCTGCTCCTGAAAACACACGCTTCTACTTTGCATTTCTCTTTTTAAAACACATTTTAAAAGTTATGTGATAAAACTTTTCTCTCTCTCTCTGTGTCAGGTGGACTTTTCATTGGCTGAATGAAACGGCCGTCACGCTGGTGAAGACCAATGGGACGCAAGTTCCTTCGTAATTCATTGAATTAATGAAGGGAAGAGATTCTGCCGTCTGTGTGACTGTAGACTGTGTTTTATAAATCACGTGTCAAAGTGTAGAGATTCTTCTTGTGTTAATAAATACCTCTGATGTTCGTTTTAACTTGAATCTGTAAAATTAATCACGTCTCCATTTTGAAACTGGCCACAAGAGGTCGCTGTTTTAATGGATACTTGGAGCCGGTGGAAAAACAAATCTCTCGACCAAACCGCAATAATTAAAATAAAAAGTTGGAAATCAGCAAATTCAAATGTGTTTTTTCGGTGTTGAGTTACTTTTGCAAAGTAAAGTTGATAAAAGAAATAATCCTAAAAAACATTTCAGGTAAAATCGTCTAAAATCAATTAAAGTACAGTGTACAGTACTCTACAGTGACACAGGCTAACATGCTAACCACATGCTAACAGAAGAAGAATGTATTTTAAATGTGCATCAGTTTCATCATCATTATCAGTGTAAAATAATGATTGATAGCTAACGATTAAACAATAAAAATAAAAAATCCTGAATCCGCGAATAAATCTGCATCCGATCCAAATGACTAAAACAGCGCAGCCTTGTGGCCATCTGCAGTAAAAACAACGAACTGAGGAGAAGAAAAAAACAAGAGTCAGGCAGCTCTTTTTAAAAAGATTATATATTACAGAAACAGGAATTTAAAAAAGAAATTACTTACACACATGTTTTGAAATAATACTTTTTTCCCTTTTCAGCACCATTTTCATTTGAAGTTGTTTGTCCTCAACACAATAAAAACAAAAAAAAAGTCGAGGTCGTTCTCTCCGGAGAATCTTGAGGACAGATTTCTTTATTTTTAAGTTTTGGCAACCCCCCCCCCCCTTCCCTGTTATACTTCAAAAAACAAACACATTCAAAAAACAAATGAATCCAGACCCTTAGTATGATATCGCCCCTCAGCCACAGACAATAATCTTAATCAGGTTTATCCCGTGGTGCGGACAGTTGCCCCCTCCCTCTCACAACCTTTCTCCTTCTCACTGTGGTCTCACACAGAAACTTCAGGATCAATTAATGAATTAACGTCGAATCAAACTGTGTCTGCTCATCAAAGCTCGTCGAAGCAAGAACCTGAGCCTGAAACCAAAAAAACTAAACAAAGGTCAAAGTAGCAACGACAAGAAAGTGTGACAGAACTGGAGAGTCACCATTTAATCATTACAGTGGAAGCAAAATTGAACAGCACAGTACAGTTGATGAAAACACTAAAAAAAAAAGGGAAATTACAATAAAATGTGGCCACAGATTGTTTGGTTGTACACAAGGAGTTTGGACAGGGCGAGAACAGAAGCACCGTAACTCAGGCTGGCAGTGAGTTCAACATGTACGCGTCACTTGACCTTCAAGCGTCAGCTACAGGAAATAAATACAAATGAAATATACCACATTTGGCTGGAATATCTGGAGGTTCTTGTTTCTTTTTTAAATCTCAAAGCACCCTGTTTGTTTTAAATAAATACAATAGAATATCACTATTTCTGTACAAATGGAATGTAATGCACATTTTCCCCAGTAAGAAGCTTCATGAAATCTTAAAAGAGACTAAAGACGACGGAGGACTCGTAGTGAATACTCAAACTTTGGTATAATTAGCTCCTTGCCACACAGTTTCTTTCAGTAAAGCTTGTTTTTTATTCACTGCTGCAGGTAAATAAAAGAGAGAAGGAGGGAACGTTCGAATCCGACTGACACGTTTAAACCCTGATGTTCTGTGCTGGGATGCAAAAGTGAGGAAATGTCTTCTGGATGGAAAACAATCATCAAAGTGTCCCGACGGCGAAGAAAGAAGAATCAGCCCATTGAAAAAGAAGTACAGCAGCATCAAGTTTATCAAAACGATGGCTTTTAAATTCACTGATCTTTGTTTATCGTCACGTCTGAACAAGGATGGAAACAAAGTCAGGTTCTGCTGCTCTCGGGGCCGAGGACAGATGGTCCAGTTAATAAAAGAATAAATCCTGCGTCCTCACATCAACCTCGCTGCATCACAACCAGAAAGATTCCTCTTCACTTTCATCATCCGTTTGAGCTGGAATCACATTTTTAATAAAACTGAGTAGAAAACAGCAACAGATTCACAAAAAAACAGACCCTGCTGGTTCCCTCTGTTTGCTCTGGGTGGAAACTGGTGGCGTTCATTCTTTGGTTCATTTTGACGTGAGAGCGTAAAAGCTGAGAGTTTTCAATGTGAGCAACGTGATTGACAGGTCACTGCAGGACGAGACGACCGGAGACGTTAGAGGTGGCACCGGCCGCCATTCTCCCGTCAGAGGCCTCAGATCTGAAGTCTGGTTCACGAGCAGAAGGTTCTGGTTTGCAAATGCAAAGAAAATGAAAAATCGATTCAAAAAACTTTCAATTCTCAGCATGACCGGAATAAACGACGAAGCCCGGAACCACAACAACATCCTGGACACGGACGCTCGTCACCAGAGAGCGACCGTCAAACACGCTGCTCACAGTGTGAATGTGTTTGTACAAAAATCAAAATGATGATCTAAACGTGACCCTTTTTGTGGCGGGGTGGGGGGGGGGGGGGAGGAGGAGGAGGCGGGAGGTAGAGCAGGTGAGGTGAGTTGAGGGGGGAGGGGGCGAAAAAGAGAGAGACAGCGGGAAGGAGAGACGAGTGAGAGGGCGATCGGAGACAAGTTGCCGACAGGCCTCATGTCGGCCCCCGTCGCTGCTGGGAAAGAAAACACTGGTTTACTCTCTCCGGGTTTTTCTTCCTTTCTCGCGGACGTGTGCGATGGTCTCCTCTTCACAAGTTTCTTTTTATTTCTCTCCTCTTTACTTTTTATTTTGACGTCCATTATTTGTTGGGAGGATGTTGCTTTTCCCAGGCACGTACGTGAGTGTGTCTCACAACAGCATCTGTGTGTGTGTGTGTGTGTGTGTGTGTGTCTGTGTGTGTTTCATATCATTTACAAGTTAATTTACAAATTACTGGGCGTGTGTGTTTTTATATATAACTGTGTCTCTAAGTGCATGTGTGTGTGTGTGTGTGTGTGTGTGTGTGTGTGTGTGTGTGTGTGTG